ATATGAATTATTGTATCCCAAAACAAGAAATTTGTATCTACGATTCCCATTTTTATAGAAAAAGCTCTGTTTAATGAGATGGTGAAGTCGATCTTTCAACTGAGCATGGGGAATAGTAGTGTAAAGCGTAGAAAAATCAAAAGTCTTTATGTCGCTGCAAAATTGCAAAGATTGTGATCGAAGATTAAGCAGAAGATCTTTCGAATTTTTGAGAATCCACATCTGGCTAACACCACTGGTAGAATATATCTCATCACAATATTTTTGAAGCCCATCTTTAACTGTAGAAAGAATAGTAGTCAGTACTTTAAAAAGATGTTTGGTCGAACATTTTGATGACCCAGCTATGTATCGTTCTTTATATGGAGTTTTGTGAAGTTTTGGTATCCAGTATAATGATGGTAAATTTTCTTCGTTTTCTTTGATGTTGATACCAAAAGAAATAAGGACAGATTTGTGATTTTGTAAAATTTCGTCCTTGGTAAATGATGTTAAAGAATATGTAGGATTACCAGTAGTTCTATTTATTCCAAGCTCTGTTGTGAGACATTGCAAATAATGGTTTTTACATATGAAGACAATATTATTGGAGGCTTTATCTGCTGGAACAACGACATATTTGTCATGCAAAGAGGATAAAGCATCCACAACATCCGGATTCTTGAAAGGATAAGTAACTCTTGTGCTCATAGTACATCGTAGTTTTTGAATGCGCTTCTGAATGCATGATCGAATAGCTTTGATCCATTTAGATAAAGTGTCCAGTTCTGGTTCGTCTGGTTCGCGCTTTACCCTTTTTCTTGCATAGTCCTCAACTGCATCCATCAGTAACCTGAAGTTCTTTTTCCAGTTGATGGGCTGGGGAATTCTTTATTTTGGTCCCTTGGCTAACAACTCTCTTAGTTGTTCATTGGAAACGATGCCAAGGTCGCCAGTAATAACATGACCAGCTGGACTATAATTGTATTGCGACGATGCACATGAGCAATCCGGAGGCTTGGATTTGACATCTTTGATGTTAAAGGCCTCTAAAACCTTCTTGTGGTTGAAAATCTTGGATGCAATAGACTTGGTGTAAGTACAAGAAGTAATCAGGTATAGTTATTGTACAGATTTCTGGTGGAAAATATTGCTAATATTTTTAGCATCTAAACCTTTATTGGCAAATTCTACCTTAAAAAAATTACGTTTTTCCTCATTTGTGGATTTAGTCGATACGGGTTTGAATATTCTTTGGTTAGCAATGTCCATGATTATTGCAACTAATCTATACAAAACAGAACGAGAATCAGTAACGGAAGTATTTTGGGCATATTGAAATAGAAAAAAAAGTTTGACAATTGAATGGAGTATAATTTAGTTCTGATATGATGAATTCCTAAAGGTTTTTGAACAAACGTTAACAGACTATCAATTGTCACGGTGTGCACAGCAGGTGGTATATATTTTCTGTGACCGTGACTTCTATTTCGTCGAGCAGAAGTATTAAATAATTGTAATGTATTGACAGTACTACACCTGGGACTAGACAAAATACCTACACAATCAATTTTGTCATTGCATTCATAGGAAATGGCTGCTGTTCCCAATTCTCTTATCCAAAAGTCTTCTCTATGTAAACGATATGGTGTACTCAATATGGGGTCATTTGTTGGATGATATATTTTCTCTATAATCCGGACTTTCATTGAAACAATAGAATGGTCAGGCTGATTGAAATGTTTATAGAGAAATTTGTTGTTATTAGGATCATTTACATTAGACCGCTGATTATTCATTCTAAAATTGAGTCTTTGTCGAGTTTCCCCGACGTAGATCAATCCACAAAGAGTACATTCAATACCGTACACAATATTGGAAACAGTGCAATTTAGATCCTCATGACTGTGTATATTGTAACTTTTGGTGGTTAAATTACTTGGAAAGTAGATATCAGATATTAGTATATCACAGGTTTTACAATTTGTACGGTTATATTTGGAAATAGAGCAATATTGGTGGTTGTCATTGAAATCTAAAATATCTGAAAGTTTAACAGTACAGGGCCGAATAGAAACAAACTTGTCTGAATTTTTATAGTAGAATGAGGATTTAGAAGACTGCACATGTGTCATTTTTATTACATCATTTAAGATTATCCTGGGGACACCTGATAAAATCGGTGTTGTTGTGTCCTTGACAACATCCGATTCACACCTTTTTATCCTGGGCGGCGTGTCATCCAGTATAATATTTTTTATTCTACTAGTTTTAATGCTGTTAGGCTACCGGACGGGTAGAATCCTCGTTAAAACAGTTAAAGTTACCATAAAGACTAATTAATCAACATAGCAAAAATAGTCAACTGATACATTATTGGCCTGAAATGACGGTTTTTACACATGTTTAGTCAAATGAGCTCATCACAACCATTGCCATCCGTCGTCGTCTATAATCTTTTGCAAAAGTCTTGTCCTCTGAAAGTACTGGGCCAATTGGAACCAAAACCTATTATCCTTAAGATATTTATTGAAGAGTGGTTCAATAATCCATACTGACAATAGACATGAAAGCCATGACTACATAAATACATTTAAACAAACGGTATATGCAAGTCTTATATTTTACCTTTTATACCGATATTAATAAAAACATTTAAAAAAACCCGCAAAAAGGGCATAAATGATCAGGATGTGAAGGGAGGAGTATGCGGGCGCCTCGGTGGCCGAGTAGTTAAATTAGTTAATCTAGCAATCATAAGCCTGTCAACTATGGTTATGGGTTCAAGCGCCTCTCGTGGCAGGTGCGTTTTACTCCTGTTTTAATTAGCTAGGATTAGCAGTTTCCATGCCGATGTTCAGTCCTTCTCGTCGAGCACTCCGACCTCCTTCGCCAATAAAAGCTGACAGCCATCATCTCGCTAAACGCGCTGAATACGGCGTTAAACACCATCAATTAATAAATAGTAGCGAAATATAACGAGTGTTAGGATACCTGCAAAAATAAAAATCCTTGAAATAACTTTCTCCTTGCGTAATCGTTTTGTTTTTGTTGAATACGCAGTTGCAACAGATTTTGATTTTGGATTGGGGACGCTATATTCTTAAATTTTGACACTGAATCAGCCCTTCGATATGCGGCATGTTTTGTATTCTCTAGACTACTTTTATCAAGAAAGAACTGCAACACAAGCTACGTATTAAATGATATACAGCTGGTTGCGTATACATACATCCTGCACAGTAAATTGAGACTAACTACCTAGCAGGGAATTATACTTCCGTACTCTAGCACCGCTCGGGTCTCTTGATTGATAGAAAAGGGCCTTCATCATGGCTTTGTTTTTAATTGTTTGCTAAATTTATAAACAGTTTTTACTAGTAATTTACAAGTAGGTCATCAAATGACGGAATCTGTATCCCTTCTCTTTCTAAATGTATTCCAAGTAGAATTTGTTGACAAGACAATATTTTATTGAAGTTTCACTTTTTATAAAAACATTTATGAAATATAAATTCACATAATATATTAAACCAGAGCCACTCTTAAAAGAGTCTACATTAGTGTGACGGAATAAATATTTACATGAAATATATAAAATGTTTACTTTGAAACTGAAAAATTTGCTTTGATATTTTATTGCAAAGAAAATGAAAGTAATATACTTGAAGTGTACATTTTATATACAAACAAAAATTTATATACAAACAAAAATTTATATACAAACAAAAATTTATATAAAATGTACACTTTAATTATATAAATATTAAAGCAAATTTTTCAGTTTCAAAGTAAACATTTTCAACACTAAATTAAAATACAAATTTATCGTCATCAGTCATAATGTAAAAATCATGACAAAGAAATACAGCATGATCAAATAGATTACCATGTAAAAAAACACTTAGACAATTTCATGCGCGTTCGAAGCTTTTTTTATGGATTTTCGTTCAACAGGAACACCCAAAATCACACATTGAAGGTCAAGGATGTATAGGACAATAACACGTGATAAGCTGCATACCCAAAATCGGATCGAAGGTCAACTTTGTCTGAGGGAGTTGCAACCTTATTTATCAAACAATTTATTAATTTCTCAATTCTTAATCTCCATATATAACGTGCATTCGAAAATCATTCCTGTTTTCATAAGTATATGATGTATATGTACAAGTTGAAGACACAGGACGAACAACGACACTCGCCGACAGTTTCTCCTGTTTTGTAGCGAGTACATAAAATTTATTGTTTTTACCGACTAAATTTTGTTTTTATCCAGCAATTTAACCTTTACTTTTTGGTTTTTTTTTTCCAACTGTTGTATGATTTTCATACAAGTCTACATAGCTTAAACGCAAACTCCGGAGATGACTCATAATAAACTAGGATAAAACAACAATGTTAACATCACTGTTCGAAATAATCATATAAACAGAATAACACACGAAACTATCTTTAAACTATACAAATAAAGCAAAAATTTATTTGAAGCAATCTAATTGGCGGATTGCATGATAGAAATACAGAAACTAGTCATGCTTCACCTCTTTACACAATATTGCACTTCCACTCGAATATAAACATTTTACATGATGTCTGTATGCCGACTGGACAACAGTAAAAAAAAATACATAAGTACGGGTTTCGTTCTCCTAAAGTATATGAAAATGTAAATGAGACCGGAGAGGAATCATCAACAGATTATGAGGAAAGGGATCTTCTAAGAGGAAACTTGTAAAAAAGGGGAAAAAGGATCTAAGAGGATACTTGTACAATATGGGAAAAGGAACAGGAGATAAAACAAATTGACTTATCTAAGAGCTCTCCAAGTATTACCTATAATATATTGTTAATTCGATCTAAAAATATGGAATGTTTATAAACAACACTCCAATAATTATTCATACGGTTTTCCTACTCAAGATAGATTAAGTTTTACCTTTCGTTCTCAAAAACAATTTTACAACTGAGAAATGGTAAAGACGTACGACAAACGCCAACAGAATGACAAGAAATCGAACAAGACTGTTATCAATTATAATCTAAAAACCGAACAAAGACTGTTATCAATTATAATCTAAAAACCGAACAAAGACTGTTATCAATTATAATCTAAAAAACGAACAAAGACTGTTATCAATTATAATCTAAAAACCGAACAAAGACTGTTATCAATTATAATCTAAAAACCGAACTGTTAATCTATTAGCAGTGCAATAATTTATGAATTATACACATATTTCATTTCTAAGTATTTCTCGTTTCCACTTCTGGTTGTTGCTTCTGAGCGTCTTCCAGATGTATCGTTTGTGTTGATTACACAGCCTCCGCATAAAATGCCAATGGCTAGTATCCCATTAGAAAAGTACAGTATTGTTGCAGCACAAACCATCCAGAAAGAAATGAAAAAATATCTGTTGATGTTGATGTCTAGTACTTTTAAAATGTTCAATTCCAATATCATATCCATTTTCAGCTCATCGAAGGTTTGTATTGCAACGCCAAACGTTACCAAGCATACCAATAAAGCAGAACCTATTAATATAAATACATGTGAACTAGTATATATATTTGTTTAGGTGCCAGCTGAAGGACGCCTCCGGGTGCGGGAATTTCTCGCTGCATTGAAGACCTGTTGGTGACCTTCTGCTGTTGTCTGTTCTATGGTCGGGTTGTTGTCTCTTTGACACATTCCCCATTTCCATTCTCAATTTTATGTACTTTTTTTATATCTTAAACAAAAAAGTACAATATATATATACTCGAATACAGCTATACTGGATTGTAGAAAAAGGATTTGTTCGTTTGAATCCTTCATCACACATGATCGCTGTCTGCTATATAATAAATTAATATTATGGGACTGTTCTCAAAACAAAACTTTGACAAAACATGCATTATGGTATACTTTAAAATTATGGTTAGTTTAAACAATATTTAATTTTTCAAAAGTGCTCTAATTACAATTATACAATAGAAATACAGGGATTCGGACACAAGAAGAACTTAATATATAAATCCGTCCCCCTTAATTGTGGTTGACGGCCAGTAAACATGCCTGCAATAGTTATTATATATCTATTTGAATTAAGCATGCGTGTGAAAATGATGATAAGGTCATACAAATATTTTGTCTATAGTGTGACATGTGCGTATAATTTATATTAAGACTAACCAATGATGAAATTCTCCACAATTGACACAACATGGTAGATACGGACATGGTTAATCTTCCTTATCCAGATGAAATGCAGTTTCCAAATAGAAAACGACAGTGCACAAACGACGGCCACAGTTGCAAAGGATCTTGAAACTGTCCACAAATCTAAAAAGGTTTAAAAAAGTATTTAAGATGATTCTGCGTAAACGGAATTATGCTAATTTCAATAATTCTACCTTGAAACGTTGAAAATGATCTTGAAAACAATCACAAATATAAAAAGGTTTAAAAGAGTTAAATTGCTTCCGTGTAAACGGGATTATCCTAATTTAAAAAGCTCTACATTTAAACATTCACAAATTAATTGAGGGATATGCTGATAATAGATTGAATGGAATTTCAAGTTCAGTTCGACCGTGCAGAGAAGTTAAAATTGAATGAAATACATCGATTTCATTTTACTTCTTTGTTTTATAGCTTTTTATAGTTTGATTCTAACGTTATGGATACCCATATCTAGCAGACGGATGACCAGCCTAGTCATTGTCTGCCCAAATGTTTCACTTATTTCCCTACAACTATATATATAGAAATACATAAGGAGATAAGGTATGATTGCCAATGAGACAACTATCCACCAAAGTTCAAATAAAGGGGATGTAAGCAATTATAGGTAACCGTACGGCCTTCAACAGTGAGATAAACCAAAGGGCCCCGACATGAAAAATATGAAACAATTCAATTGAGAAAACTAACAGCCTAATTTACAATTAGAGAAAAACAAATATGACAGACATTAAGAAACAATAACCACTGAACTACAGGCTCCTGACTTGGGACAGGCACATAAAGAATATGGCCGTGTCAAACATGTTTGTGAGCATTCAACCCTCCCCTAACCTGAGACACAAGGTACAGATCTGAGAGTACTCGTAGTTACTGACAGCTAGTTCAAAGCCAATAACAACTAATAAAAAAATATCATGTATCTAAGACTAAAATATCAATCAGAACACATCCAACATCCAATGGATTCAGTGTAAAGACGTCTTTAACAGTCAGAAAAAAAAGAAGACCTTATGCAATGCCAAAACAAAGGTATCGACAGATTGTAGTACCGTTTAAGTGCATATGTGTATAACAAAACTATTTAGTATGATTTTAATTTACTGATAACAAAATCAATATTCATACCAATAAAAACAATATTCAAAGATTTAATTACAGTGTTGAATTGGTAACCTGTTATTTTGATTGTTGATTGTATTTGTTTATTCGCATACGCTGGATGCTTTTGTGCGCGGCTTCTGAAATAAATAAAACTTAAAACTTGAAAATGTAAAAAGTATGCATTATTACATTCCCTTATTCCAAAGGAACAGTAAATTGTTATTGCTTATGACACTTACCACATACCTTTCTGTAATATAAACATTCATATTTTCTAATCCTGTTAAATAAGTAAGAAATGGTATGATTGCCAATGAGACAACTTTTCGCCAGTGATGAAATGACATAGTTTGCAACTATAGCTTTGTAAAACTTAGTTTATTATTGAAAGTAACAACACTTTATTAATTCCCTCATCTTAATTTGGACTTCAACATCTCTCTGAAAAGGACCAATATATCTATTACACGGCATCAATTGTCTCTTTGTATGGCACTTCTTCGAGTGTGTGACGTTGTAAGATCGACCCAAGCCAGTTTAAACCCTAAAGTACTGAACTAAAAATGTGGATTACTCAGATGTTTTTTCGCTTATCTCGAAGCATTCAGGAGCAAAAGCAAAGACTGTACAGTTCAGATTTCGTATAATGTGTCTTTGTTGGCATACTTTTATCTTATTTACCATCGTTGTAAAAATATTTATCAAATCTAAAGTTTTGTTAACTATATTCAAACATACTTCTTATCTAGTTTATTCATTATTCCCAATTCAAAAATGTTGATAATGTAAAAAAAAAAAAAAAAAAATGAGAAAGCACATATCGCGGCCGACCTCTGACAAAAAATTAATATCATTTAATTAAGGAATGACTGTAATATTTTTTCTGTCTATGAAGAAATAGCATCAAAAATGTGGTGCACACTGAATAACCCGCGTAGCGGGTTATTTTAAAGTGTGCACCACATTTTTTATGTTATTTCGAAAAGACAGAAAACATATTACAATCATTTCTAATAATTTAATTCTAAATTCCATTTTAAACCGTAGTAAACCATGAAAAAACGTTGATGACGTCACGGTCACATGACAAAATTATGTCTATGAGCTGATAAACAAAACAACGTCAGCCAATCAGAAGACGCGGTACATCCAAAATTAAATTATTGCCTGATGTATAAAAAAAAATCAAAAATAATTGATACAATATACAAAAGTATATCTATTAATATATTAACATACTTATAATTCTGTTGGTCTTGTTTATTATCTTATCTAGTATTTCATTTCTATTTGTTTTGCTGATAGACTTGGTATATGAAAAATATTTAGCAAACAATGATAGATCATAACATCCATAATGTTTAAAGCACCACTGCCAAAGACCAATATACTCCTTCTCGACCATTTCAAAAATTTCAATGTTAAAGTCAGTTTCCACTGATATCAAAATCCAAAGTGGCGTTGAAAATCCAAGGACAAGCACAAAAAGTGCAACCATGGTCAAAACAAAGATAACTTTGTTCGCTCTGGTTAAATTCGTCCATTTTGTTGAGCATGGCATATTTATTTTCCCTTTTTTTAACATGCAAAGTACATTAATTGTCTATAAAAATTACAAAAAAATACAAGTTTTATATATCAGGCGTTGAGTAGGGAAAAGTCTCATATTTCCGATGAGTTTCCTCTATTAGCTTTGAATTATAAGTACCCAGTGCCATTGTTTAACTGTGGTTTTTTTTTAATATTACTGGGAAATGAATTTTTATAAGAGATGCTGTTATCCAATAAAACTTCAATATTTTGTAGGGTATTTTTGTTTGTGTGTTTCGGTTGTTTTTTCATTTTTTTATATTTCATTCATCATTTTTGTTTGGGCTTTGTAGCTAGGGAGCGGGGGTTACTGTTCTTTTATATTATTAGATCGCCATCGTGCAAGATTTATGCTATTCACTGGGACATATATAAAAGAAATGTTTATTTCAAGAACTCGTGTTTAGATAGATGTCGAAGCTGAACAAATCTTCTTCAGAAGTTAAAAGAAGATAAGAAATCATATTAACCTGTAAATAGGTAGTTAGAACTGTCTGACAATCTAGAGATGAATCAAACGTGAAATGAAAACTGTAGAAGACAAATGACAGTATTTACCCCTGGAATTATTTCATTCAATAGGAGGGTCTGGATCGTATCTTTCTGTATTCTATGTTTCATTTTACTGTGCTCTTCATCTCTTTGCCCATTATTCTCTATTCACTATATTAAAGCACTGCATTATTTTCCATTATTTATATTTAAGCACTCTATTATTCTCTATTCACTATATGTAAGCACTCCATTATTCTCTATTATTTATGTTTATACACTCCATTATTTTCCAGTCTTTATATTTAAGCACTCCATTATTTTCTATTCACTATATTTAAGCACTCCATTATTTTCTATTCTTTATTTTTAAGCACTTTATTATTCTCTATTTACTATATTTAAGCACTCCATTATTCTCTATTTACTATATGTAAGCACTCCATTATTCTCTATTTACTATATTTAAGCACTCCATTATTCTCTATTTACTATATGTAAGCACTCCATTATTCTCTATTTACTATATTTAAGCACTCCATTATTCTCTATTTACTATATTTAAGCACTCTATTATTCTCTATTTACTATATTTAAGCACTCCATTATTCTCTATTTACTATATTTAAGCACTTCATTATTCTCTATTCTTTATGTTTAAGCACTCCATTATTTTCTATTCTTTATTTTTAAGCACTCCATTATTCTCTATTTACTATATTTAAGCACTCCATTATTCTTTATTTTTATATTCAAGCACTCCATTATTCTCTATTCTATTGTTTTTTGTTGCATTTTTCTCTGTTGTTCATTTTTTTTTAAATTTATTTTCTCTTCTGGAAACTCAATTAATTAATGACTGTTAGACAAACTCTTATTAAAAAAAAGTGACAATTATATTCCTCAGATTTTCCTCGAGTAATAAAACAATGCAAATACCAGCATGTAAGCCTAGAATTATAACTCACTTTTTATGATTGATTGATTATTGGTTGCTTAACGTCCACTTGAGAACAAACCTTTTTTGTATATTAAAAATTACATATGTTTTTCTTTTTGAACAAAAGTGTCAATAGAACACCAGACGGCGTATCAAACCTTTAATTCTGAATTATTACTCCAATGAATAATTAAGCGACTGGATTATGGAGGGTCTGGATAGGGTTTACAGGATTTAGAATAATGGGCAAAAGTATGAAATAAGGGACAAAATAAAACATGAAATAAAGAATAGCGAAAAAGGCAGCACATATAAAAAATGGACAATAATGGGTTGCTAAAATATAAAGGTGTAATACCACCAAATCATAATACTTCACATCTGTTTTTACACAAAAAAGGGTCGAAAAAAATATTTTCATGATCTGACAGTTGTAGGAAGTTAACCCTGCATTTCATTGCAGAAAACAAATTCTGAGTCATAAACAAAGATCTTGGGTGTTTCAAAGAACCATTATTTTTTTAACTTGGTGTTTCCATAAAATATTTTGGAAACTTAAGGTAACATGGTTACTAAAGCTTGTAAACAGGTAAAAAAAGGGGTGATTTGATTTGATTGGTTAATTTCCAGTGATGATTATTATCATATATGCAATGAAATGTCATGTGAAATTTTGTTTATAGTACTGGACAGGTTAAAACTTTACTGATTCCAAGTATTTCTTTATTTGAAACAAATTAAGATAAATTCTGTACAATTTTTTGAAAAGTGCCAATTTAACAAAGACTAATCGGGGAAAACAATAGAGAATAGAGAAAAATGGCCTTATTAATCAGATAATACAGAAATCAAGCACCAATCATTCAGTCCTTCATTAATTGTGCGAGGCTACGTGGAAATAAAAAGCAACACATAAACTTTCTCCTTGGGGAATCTGTTTTGGCTTTGTTAAATTCTAGGTTCTAAAATGCTTGATTTGGGACTTCATATTCATAAAATGGGGCACAAAATAAGCGCTTCTGTATGAGGCAGTCCAGATTTTGTAATTACTAGACTATCACAATCAAGGGAGAACTTTTTTTTTCTCATTTACCGATATACAGTGAACACACGTGCTATTTATACGTGAAGTACAGATTAATACTAACCTCAAACATCACATTGCAAGTGACAGATAAAATGTGTATGTTCGACAACAAAGGAGTATGTTCGGTAAGGGCCATATTTGGCCCCGATAATTAAGTTCAATATTTCTGGATACAAAAATGTTTACTTGACGAAAAGACGTGTGATAAAGTTAAACAGAACTGTTTTTGTAATAGTTTTATTTTTAAAGCGTTGATTTTTACATCGAAAAAAGAGATTTTGGCGAACATTGACAATATCGTCCGGATATCAACCAAACGCAGGCCTAGGAAACATAGAGCGCAGGCGTCGACAAATGAAATATTCAAGTCAGACATGTTAAATGTCATAACAAACATTATTGTAAAAGATCTTTTTGTCGACGCATGCGCTCTATGTTTTCTGTCAAAAAAATCAATGGAAATTTACCTGTTTTCATTCATTGTTCGTGGAAAATCAAGATTAGTTATATTTGTGACGTCATGAATAGAACGCAAGTACGTAAAATTTTGACAAAAACACATATTTCCTATCTATTGTATTAGCTATGATTCATTGTGATGTTGGTCAATAAAAGCTTATTTTAAATTTTGAATGGAAATAGGGGCCATTGCAGTTTCTTATCGAACTTCTCCTTTGATCACGAAACTGCTCCACACAAAAAGAGTCTAATAGAATGAAGTAAATATACCTGCCACCACAGGAAACGATAAGCTCTGTACACATGCATACACTTTCTATCATATCTATACGCGATTTTTTTTTTTTCATGGAATATATTTAGCATTAGCTTAATCTTGGCATTGAACAGGCCTTCAGCAACTGAGAGTGTTCTCAAAATGTTTGAGGATTTTTTTGTAAGAGGGGAGGGCTCATATTTAACAAAATACACCGAATTATATCCCAAAACAATAAATGTGTAGCGTATGGTATCAATTCAATGAAGGAAATCATTGTGGATAATTTCCTGACGATCCATTTGTCAATTCCATTTATTAGTGAGAAACGTTTCAGGCCAATTTGCGAATAGTAAACAACATTTGATATAGGTTTTGTGGGTAATGTGCTGACAGTGTTTCTGTTTGGGATTTACAGAATAGAGAAAGACGGAAAGAACATCATCAATATACCTTTACAAGAAATAAAATTATCTAGCTTATTTGATCTTCTTGTTTTAACACGTATCTAAAGGAATTCCAACTCATTTAAATTAAAATAAGAAAAGGTCGATCAGGAGAGGTGCACTGCTGGTTCCCATATGAATGTTGACAAACCTGCTGGAAGATTTTTCCTCCAAATTCATCAAATATCTTTAATCTCGATGAAAAATTCCAGCATATAGTTCTCTTGTTTTTTTATACAATATTTTTTTATTGGGGTGGGGTGGGGTGGGGGAGGGTCCTTATATTTAACAAAATACACCGACTTATATCCGAAAACAATAAATGTGCAGCGTATGGTATTTGTTTAATGAAGGAAAGCATTGTGGATTATTTCTTTTTTTTTTCAGTATTTATACGGCTCGGGCTTTCTAACAGTTCTAGAATTATGTTGAATAATGATAAAGACAATACTTTATTGTTTCACTTTTTATAAAAACCACGAAGGAAAATATAAACTCACAAAATATATAAAACCAGAGCCACTATCTAACGACTCATGGGAAACTATGTATACATATTTACATTAAAAAAAGAATTCATTAAGGTCTACATTTTGGTTTTTTTTTTTTTTTTTTCTATGTACATATTTATTTTTATCCAGCAATTTAACCTTTACGTTTTGTTTTGTTTCGAACTGTTGTAGATTTTCATACAAATCGACGTGGCTTAAACGCTAATTCTGAAGATGACTCATAATAAACTAGGATAAAACATGAATGTTTACATCACTGTCAGCTAAACATTTAAGCAGTAGAGCAAACGAGACTATCTTTAAACTATACAAATAAAGCAAACATTTATTTGAAGCAAACCAATTGGCAGATTGCATAATAAAAATACAGAAAATAGTCATGCTTGACTCTTTACAACACATTGCACTTCCACTCTAATATAAACATATTTCATGATAACTGTATGCCGACAGGTCAACAGTAAGTAAAAATACACAAGTACGACTTTCGTTCTTCTAAAGTATATAAAAATGTAAATGAGATCAAAGAGGAACCATCGATAAAATAGTGGGGAAAGGGATCAAAGAGGAAACTTGTTAAAAGGAGAAAACGAACAGGAGATAAAACAAATTGACTTATCTAAGAACTCTCCAAGAAGTACATATAGGTTGCATTTCTGTTAATATATACAATGCAATCTTCCATTTGAACTTCTTTTACGGCTAAACCTGTACCACTTTTACTATTAAGTTTCACCAAAAAATATATCCTAGAATGGAAAGCTCATATGCACTACTATTTTTTTCAAAGGTCAAAATATAGGGCTGTCCGGCATATTTTCGACATTTATATGCCCCGAATTTCTAAGAGTTGAAACTAAAACTAAAATTCTGCACTACCCCTCCCTTCACTTAAGGTCATCCTCAAAATTCAAGGCGGCCGCTATTTATGTTTTTTTTTAAACTGGTAACATTCCCAAGTTATGTCTCTATGAGATGAAACATAGAGATCATATCTGGGAACTAGGACGTAAACAAAATAAAAATTTATGAATATTATATTTCTCCTCAAGAGAGGCGTGGTTTGTGAAACAGCTGTATTTACAAAGTGCAACCTATACTAACATTTATTCAAATAGAAAACTCTTGAAAAACACTTTTTCCAACAACAATAGTTATTTATCAGAATTTTAACCTAAAAGAAATCACTGCATTTGCTTTAACTTTTCTTTTACAGTACATTTTATACCCCACCCCTGTTTCAATTTTTTAAAGAATTTGTAAACAAGACTTAAATTAATGTCAGCTTACCCTATGAGCATGTTTTCTGACATGAAATGCCTAGAACCTGTATGAAACTATTCTAATAACAAATTGAAAGCATTTCAGAATACTATAAATGTAAAGTTTAGTAGTTAATCATTACAACATTCAAGATTATATAAAATATCCATTCATGCCTCTGTCTCCTGTCCACTTACTGTATGCCTATAGATATAAGAAGATGTGCTATGAGTGCCAATGAGACAACTCTCCATCCAAGTCACAATCTGTAAAAGTAAACCATTACAAAAATGTATAAGTCAAAGTAAGGCCTTCAACACAGAGCCTTGGCTCACACCGAGCAGCAAGCTATAAAGGGCCCCAAAAATGACTAGTGTAAAACCATTCAAACAGGAAAACCAACGATCTAATCTATATAAAAAACGAGAAACGAGACACACTTATGAACCACATCAACAACCGACAACCACTGAACATCAGGTTCCTGACTTAGGACAGGTGCAAACAAATGCAGCGGGTTTAAACGTTTTAATAGGCGCCAACCTTTACTCTACCGGAAACAATAGTGTAACATCACAACATAGAAAGACACACTATAAAATATCAATTGAAATGGCTGAATTAATCAAAAGACATATTAACAAAAACAAGTGAACATACACTGAATGAATACATTTGATCTATGAAACAATGTAAATACAAAATTAATGAAACAAGAGGGTTAGATGTAAAACATTATCAAAAAGAAAACCATAACCTTGGACAAAATGCCGCCAAATAAAATAACGTACACAGGTAAATAAAAATAATTTTGTTGTAAGGTATACATGAAGTACAGAAATAATTTTTACAAAATAAATAATTTTGTTGTTCCTAGTACGAGAAAGTGAAAATTTATCGTCATACTAAACACTTATCAAAGGTGGTATAACACTGAATAAGTAAACATTTAATAACAAAAATACATTACAAATTGTATCAACAGGTCAAATTAACACGAAAGTACGATTTGAGAGTAATCGGAGTTACTGAAAGCTAGTTAAAAGCCAAAAACAATTAATAATAAAAAATCATGCATCAGAGACTAAAATCAACTAAAACACATCCTAGGGATTTAGTGTTTTAATGTCATGGACAGTCAAAGAAGACATGACTTGTGCAATGCCAAAATAAAAGTATCGACAGGCAGTAAGATAGTTAGGAGTTAACCTGTTAATAGACATGTATAATGTTATTTATAGATAGCGTAATCTCTATATTGAAAATGAACGTGGATGTGTATTTATACATCCAAAAAAAAAACGTTTGAAAGAATAAAAATTTAGATATGTTTTAATCTGCTGATGACAATGTCGATATTTGTGCCAATGTAAACTATATTCAAAGATTTAATTACAACATTGGTAAGATAACCCTTACTAGTAAGTTTGTTTAAAGGTTTTCTACAGGTACAGCCAAACTTACTAATCAAATCTTTGTATCTATGAAAGAATTTAGTAAACGTTTTAAGCAATTTATGGTAACGAAATCTCTGACCTAATAATTTACCAGTGATGCATTGATTACGTTCGTTAAAATCTTTGACATCACTACACACACGGGCATAACGAACGAGTTGGGATATATAAACACCGTATGATGTAGCCAAAGGAACATCGCCGTCTAAAAAGGGAAAATTACCAATAGGGAATGAAAAATCGTCTCTTTTGTCGTAAATTTTAGTATGGAGTTTCCCTTTAAAAATTGAAATTTATAATAAATCTATAAAAGGACAACTACTGCTGTTCATGTTAGATTTGTTTAAAGTAAGGTCCTTTGGGTATATTTCGATAGCATATTCAGAGAACTCTGGATTATTTAACGAAAAAATATTATCAAGATAACGGTAGGTATTGTTGAATGTATCAACCAAATGTAACAATGACCTGTCTTTACTGAGTTTGGTCATAAACTGAGATTCATAGCAATACAGGAACAAATCTGCTATTAAAGGGGCGCAATAAGTGCTCATAGATATACCTACTACCTGTTGATACATTTTATTGCCGAAACGTACATATATGTTGTCCAGGTGAAAATTTAAAGCTTCAATCATATCGTCACATTTCCAAAAAATGTATCTAGCATACTTTCCTTTTTCGTTAAAGAAAAGGCTTTAAACGAGTAACAGTAAATAAATGTGCAATGAGATTTTTCAAAAGACCATTTAATTAAATATAAAAACTTTTTCTTGATAAGATTGTGTGGAAGTGTAGTGTAGAGAGTAGAAAAATCATAACTGTCAACAAAATTAAAAGGACCGTCAAGAGCATGTATTTTATCTAAAACCTCTGATGAATTTTTAACACTCCAAATATAATTAAAACCATTATTTTCATAAGCCTTATTACAAAAGTAAATAACAAATTCTTTGATAGTAGGAAGGGAGGTAGTTAGAAGCACTGACAGATAAGTAGTAGAACACTTACTAGATGCGGAGATGAAACGGAATTTAAATGGTTGTTTTTGTAATTTAGGTAGCCAGTACATAGTCGGGACTTTCAAATGTTCGGAAGAGGCTTTTAGCTGGGTAGTGGCAGTGATCTGCTTGTTTACAGTTTGACTCTCTGTGGAGCGTACGGACCTGAATGTAGACAAATTGATGATTTCGTTTTGGAGAACTTCCGTGTAGTATATGCGTCAAACCACCACTACATTATTGTCTGCTTTGTCTGCCGGTACGAACACAAACCGCTTTGCGAGTACTTGGAGTTTATTTTTTATTCTAGAAAAGGGTAAATCATGGACCCTATTATTAATTTCAGAATTGTTTTCAAAATGAGATAAGAATATCAACAGTATTCATAATTTTATTCAAATAACTGTCTAGAGACTTTTTATCAGATTTTTCACGTTTACACCAATTTTTACGACATGTATCTTTATGTATCTTTAAAAGTTCACAATTTCTGCCTCAAATGGTCAGTGAAAAATTCTTCACACAATAATATTATCTCTTACTATATATCTAACATAATTTGGCTAATATTCGACTAGAAGTGTTTAAACAAGGCCATTTCTTCAAAAATTGTATTTATGAAGTTACCAGTCTGATTTATGAATTCACTTAAAGTTTTATAGAACTGACTGCTGGAATCTGTTTTTTTTTTTTTTGCATAAATTGAAGCACAATTGTTGTTTTCTATACAGATGATCTTTACAATAATAAAATCATAGCCTTTACAGGATAACTTATCTGTTTTATGACCCAGTGGTTAGGGATTTTTCTCTGTTTTTGCCCAGGGGCCTTAAATTTGCTAAATAATTCAGCTGTTTCTGTGAATATGGAATATTAAGTACATTTTTAGGAAAGAGCACACTATTGTTAGTTTTATTGAGGTGTTTTTGTATCTCTACCTATGAATGCCACAGTCACAAGAAACCACATTCAGGTGTTACGGGTTACTTTTGGGTTTTCTACAGGACGAAGACACCCCAACAACAAAATTCATTAAGGATCTATGAGTTTCGATGACTGCGATGAGTAAATATAAGCACTGCTTTACAATTTAAATTACAAATGAGCTTTTATTATGTATTTACTTTGCATACAGGGCTTTAGGTAAATTGTGCATATTGTAAACTGTGAATTTATGCTGAGTCATCATAGTAAAGGCCCAGGATTTCTCAATCTTCATGAAATATTCATATAACTTTATATATGAGTTAATTTCATTAAGACTCTAAAGATAAACCAGATTTGGTGAAATTATACATGTTCTCTTTTTCACCCAATATAGGTTGCATTTCTGTTAACGTAGACAATGCAATTTTCCATAGGAACTCCTTCTACGCCTAAACCTGTACCACTTTTACTATGCTGTTTCGCAAACTATTATATCCTAGAATGGAAAGCTCATGTGCACTACTATTTTTTTCAAAGGTCAAAATATAGGGCTGTGCGGCATATTTTCAACAGTTATATTCTGTGAATATTATTTTTTTCCCCAAAAGAGGCGTGTTTTGTGAAACAGCTGTATTTAAAAAGTGCAACCTATAGTATGTTGTTAACTCTGAAAAGGGATGTTTTATAAAAAAAAAACAACAAAACACTCCATATATTATTCATACGGTTGTTATACTCCAGACTGATATAGATTTACCTTTCGTCCTCAAAATTTTATATTTGTATAACTGAGAAATGGTAAAGACGTACGACAAACGCCAACAGAATGACAAGATATCGAACAAGACTGTTATCAATTATAATCTAAAAACCGAACAAAGACTGTTATTAATTATAATCTAAAAACGGAACAAAGACTGTTATCAATTATAATCTAAAAACCGAACAAAGACTGTTATCAATTATAATCTAAAAATGGAACTGTTAATCTATCAGAGTTGTTCTCAGTGCAATAATTTAGAAATTATACACAGGAATCATTTCTAAGGATTTCTCGTTTCCACTTCTGGTTGCTTCTTCTGATCGTCTTCCCGATTGGGGGTTTGTGTTGATCACAAAGCCTCTGCATAAACTGACAATGGCTAACATCCCATTAAAAAAGTACAATAATGTTGCAACACAAACCATCCAGAAAGAAAAATATCTGTTGATGTCTATAACTCTTAAAATATTCGATTCCGATAGCTTATCCATTTTCAGCTCATCAAAGGTATGTTTTGCAGCACCAAACGCTACCAAGCATATCAATAAAACAGGACCTACAATATGAATATATGTATTTTTGTATATTTTAAACAAAAAATCCTGCATACATATGTCTATTTTAACACGACGAAAAGGGAAAATTCCAAATTGATTACAGCTATAAATGATTGTAGGAAAAGGTGATACTCCATTCGAATATATGTTTCGTTGAGATCCGTCATCACACATGGTCTATGACTGCTATAGAATAAGATAACGTTATGGGTTTGTTCTTGGTATGACAATTTGACAAAAAATGCATTATGATATACTTTACTAATTGGGGTTAGTTTAAACAATATTTTATTTGTCAAAAGTGTACAAATTACATTTCTACAATAGAAATACAGGGATTTGCACACAAGAAGAACTTATATAAATCCGTCTCTCTTAATTGTTGTGGACGGCTACAACCGCCATTAAACATGCCTGCAATAGTTATTATATATCTAAATATACATCAAATTTGATAATATTCTATTTGTATCTAGCATACGTGTGCAAATGTTGATAAGCTTATACAAATATTTTTTTTTTTGTATATTGTGACATGTGCTTATAATGTTTATGAAGGCTTACCGATGATGAAATTCTCAAGAATTGACACAAGATGGTAGACACGAACATGGTTCATCTTCCTTATCCAGATGAAATACAGTTTCCAAATCGAAAACGATATTGCACAAACGACGGCCACAGATGCAAATGATCTTGAAACTGTCCACAAATCTAAAAAGGATTAATAAAAAAAATTAAGTTGGTTCTGTGTAAAAGGAATTTTGCTAATTTTAATAATTCTGCGTTGAAACGTTGAAAATGATATACAAATTGTCCAGAAATCTAAAAAGGTTTAAAAGAGATAAATTGATTCTGTTTATACGGGATTATTCTAATTTTTAAAGTTCTAAATTGAAAAGTTGAAAAGGAATTAAGGGATATGCTAAAGATGTTTTGAAAGAAATTTCAAGTTCAACCGTGCAGAGAAGTTAGAATCGAATGAAATACGTCGGAATTGTTTTTACTTCTTTGTTTTATAACTTTTTATCCTGTTGATGCTCACGTTCTGGATACCCGTATTTAGCAGAAGGATGACCATCTTGGTCATTGTATGTCCAATTGTCTAACTTATTTCCTTCCAACTGTATATAGGTTATTTTCATAATTAAAAAAAACTTGAAAATTAGTAGAAAGTATGCATTATTACATTCCCTCATTTCAAAAGAACAGTAAAACTGTTATTGCTTATGGGATCATAAACATTTATATATTTTACTTCTGTTATAAAAGTTAGAAGATGTAGTATGATTGCCAATGAGTCAACTTTTCGCCAGTGACGAAATGACGTAGAAGTTAGAAACTAGAGCTTTGTAAAACTTGAGGTTATTATTGAAAGAAACAACAATTTATCAATTCCTTCATCTTAAGTCGGATCGGATTTAGAATAATGTGTCTGGGTTGGCATATCTTTGTCACTATGGTAGAAAAACTGTTTATTAAATCTAAAGTTTGGATCACTATATTCAAACATATGTCACCATCATATCTAGTTTATTCGTTACTCCTCAATTCAAAAATGGTTATAACGAAAATAGAGACAGAACATACCGCTGCCGATCTCTTGAAACAAACTTAATATCGTATAATGGTCAATGTATAAGAAAAAGCCAATAATAATTGATAAAATCATTACAAAATATATAAGTATAGCTATCAATATATGAACTTACTTTTAGTTCTGTTGACCTTGTTAATTATCATATCTAGTATTTCATTTCTATTTCTTTTGTTGATAATCTTGGTATATATTGAAAATTCTTTCGCCAGCAATGATAGATCAAAACACCCATAATGTTTGAAGCACAACTGCCAAAGACCAATATACTCAAACTCGACCACGTCAAATAGTTCACTGTTAAAGTCAGTTTCCACAGCTATCAAAATCCAAAGTGGCGTTGAAAATCCAAAGACAAGCAAAGAAAGTGCAACCATTGTCAAAACAAAAATAACTTTGTTTGCTCTGGTTAAATTCGTCCATTTTGTCGAGCATGGCATATTTATTTTTACTTATTTTAACTTGCAAAGAACATTACTTGTCTGTAAAATTGCCAAACAAAGGTTTATACATCTGGCGTTGATTAGATTAGTGTATTGTATTTTCGATGAGTTTTCTGTATAAACTTTAAAATATAAGTATCCGTGCCATTGTTTAACAGTGTTTTTCGAATATTACCAGGAAATAAATTTTTATAAAAGATGCCATTATCCAATAAAACTTCAGTATTTTGTGGGGTATTTTTGTATGTGTGTTTTGATTTTATTATTAGGTCTTTCCACTTTTCTGTGGAAAGACCTATTGTATTTGTTCTGATTATTATTAGGTCTTTCCACTTTTCTGTGGAAAGACCTATTGTATTTGTTCTGATTATTATTATTATTATTTTTTTTTTTTCTTCCGCCTAATTTTGTTCTTGCGATAAATATTTGTTTCGCAATATGTCGCTTAGATATTTCTCATATTGTATCGTATAGTTTATGCGCTTTTAAATTTCACCCTGCTAAGCCGAACAATTATCTTTGTAAGAGTTATCTCCCTATTCACTGTTTATCAAGTGTGTGCATCTCCTTCGTAACAAAAAAAGATATCGACAAAATTCTTTTTCTAAATTGTTCGTTACATCCTCAGGAATTTTTGGCTAATTTGGATCGAAGCGATTCGATGAAATTTTATAGGAGTTATCTACCTTTATCAAATAATTTTGTCGTTATGTTTTTGTTACTCATAAACTGTAAGCCGTATAAACCTATAGTCTTTTTATTTAAGGTCCTTGGATCCCAACTTCGAAAATGAAGTCAAGGTCAAAGGTCAAGGTCATGTTCTGAATTTTGTCTTTAGCTTGTTTTTGCATTTTCTCCGATATTTTTAATGTTATATATTAAAGAACAAGTGCAAAATGTTTGTTATATTGTGATGAAGATATGATACATTTGGTCTGACACAATCCAGCGACATCTTATTGGAGTTATTGCCCCTGAAATGTTTTATTTTAAGATAAATTGATGATTACTTCATATTGGTACATGATAATGCCATAAGATCTTTTGCAAAATGTTTGGTGACATATGACCTTGAAAAATGTCAACCGGAAGTGACCTTAAGTGAACCGGAAGAAGTCATTTTTGCACTTATTTCATGTAGAAGTACATAGAAACCATATATTTTTTGAATGGTCATACATTAATCTATCATTTAAGACCGGAAGTGATATTTTATAAACCGGAAGTAGCATATTATCTCCCTTATTACAGGCATAAGTATATATAAACCATATATTTTTGGAATCAGTGTAAATAAAGCTATCATATGACACCGAAAGTGACATTTGCTAAACCGGAAGTAGCCAATTATCTCCATTTTTACAGGCAAAAGTATATATAAACCATATATTTTTGGAATCAGTGTAAATAAATCTATCATATGAGACCGGAAGTGACATTTTCTAAACCGGAAGTAGCCAATTATCTCCCTTTTTACAGGCAAAAGTATATATAAACCATATATTTTTGGAATCAGTGTAAACAAAGCTATCATATGAGACCGGAAGTGACATTTTCTAAACCGGAAGTTGACAATTATCTCCCTTATTTCAGGCAAAATTCTATAGAAACCATATGTTTATTGAATCAGTATGAAGAAACCTATGATTGGACACCAATAGTAGCTATGAGTAAACCAGAATTAGCTTCTCATCAATTATTTAGAAAATTGATGTGGAAAGACCTTCAATTGTTCTCTGAACAATTGGTTTTTTAATTATTATTATTATTATTATTATTATTATTTTTTTTTTTTCTTCCGCCTAATTTTGTTCTTGCGATAAATATTTGTTTCGCAATATGTCGCTTAGATATTTCTCATATTGTATCGTATAGTTTATGCGCTTTTAAATTTCACCCTGCTAAGCCGGACAATTATCTTTGTAAGAGTTATCTCCCTATTCACTGTTTATCAAGTGTGTGCATCTCCTTCGTAACAAAAAAAGATATCGACAAAATTCTTTTTCTAAATTGTTCGTTACATCCTCAGGAATTTTTGGCTAATTTGGATCGAAGCGATTCGATGAAATTTTATAGGAGTTATCTACCTTTATGAAATAAATTTGTCGTTATGTTTTTGTTACTCATAACCTGTAAGCCGTATAAACCTATAGTCTTTTTATTTAAGGTCCTTGGATCCTTACTTTGAAAATGAGGTCAAGGTCAAAGGTCAAGGTCATGTTCTGAATTTTGTCTTTTGCTTGTTTTTGCATTTTCTCCGATATTTATATTGTTATATATTAAAGAACAAGTGCAAAATGTTTGTTATATTGTGATGAAGATATGATACATTTGGTCTGAGACAATCCAGCGACATCTTATTGGAGTTATTGCCCCTGAAATGTTTTATTTTAAGGTAAATTGATTATTACTTCATATTGGTACATGATAAAGCCATAAGATCTTTTGCAAAATATTGGGTGACATATGACCTTGGAAAATGTCTACCGGAAGTGACCTTGAGTGAACCGGAAGTAGTCATTTTTGCACTTATTTCATGAAGAAGTACATAGAAACCAAATATTTTTTGAATGGTCATACATTAATCTACCATTTGAGTCCGGAAGTGATATTTTATAAACCGGAAATAGCATATTATCTCCCTTATTACAGGCATAAGTATATATAAACCATATATTTTTGGAATCAGTGTAAAAAGAGCTATCATATGAGACGTAAGGTGACATTTTCTGAACCGGAAGTAGCCAATTATCTCCCTTTTTACAGGCAAAAGTATATATAAACCATATATTTTTGGAATCAGAGTAAATAAATCTACCATTTGAGTCCGTAAGTGACATTTTTTAAACCGGAAGTAGCCAATTATCTCCCTTTTTACAGGCAAAAGTATATATAAACCATATATTTTTGGAATCAGTGTAAATAAAGCTATCATATGAGACCAGAAGTGACATTTTCTAAACCGGAAGTTGACAATTATCTCCCTTATTTCAAGCAAAAGTCTAAAGAAACCATATGTTTATTGAATCAGTATGAAGAAACCTATGATTGGACGCCAATAGTAGCTTTGAGTAAACCAGAATTAGCTTCTCATCAATTATTTAGAAAATTGATGTGGAAAGACCTTCAATTGTTCTTTGAACAATTGGTTTTTAATTTTATTTATCATTTTTTTTGTTTTTTTTTATTTTTTTTTTTTTTTGGGGGGGGGGGGGGGTCAATTCTTTGATCTTATCAGATGACCGCTGTGCAAGTATTACAATATTCAAATGGACATACATACATGATATGGATCAAACCTGGTTTTATTGCTAGCTAAAACTATTCATTAAATGTCTCTTTGCTATCCTTTGCCGCTCTTTTTCGAGACCTCTCACTAATTTATTAGTAAGAACTGTCGAACAAGTTTAGAGATGAATCATATGCAAAATGAACACTGTAGAAGACAAATGACCTTTGGAACTATATCATGCTATAGGAGAGTCTGGGTCAGATGTCTCTGTATCTTATGCGTCATTTTACTCTGTCCGTCATCTCTTTGTCTATTATTCTCTATTCTTTATATTTAATCACTGCATTATTTTCTATTCATTATATTTAAGCACTCCATTATTCCTCATTTTTATATTTAAGCACTCCAATATTCCTTATTTTTATATTTAAGCACTCCATTATTCTCTATTCTTTTTTTTTCTTTCTTATTGATAAGCACTCGATTATTCTACATAAAAGAGGGACGAAAGATACAAGAGGGACAGTCAAACTCATAGATCGAAAACAAACTGACAACGCCATGGATAAAAATTAAAGGACAAACAGACAAACAATAGTACAGATGACACAACATAGAAAACTTAAGACTAAGTAACACGAACCCCACCAAAAACTGGGGGTGATCTCATGTGCTCCGGAAGGGTAAGCAGATCCTGCTCCACATGTGGCATATTTTATTTTTTGGTGCATTTTTCTCTGTTTTGTTTTTAATTTATTTTCTATATGCACAAATCAATGACTGCTAGACTGACTCTTATTTAAAAAAAAAAGTAAATATTAAATTCATCACATTTTCTTCGAGTAATAAAACAATGAAAATACAAGCATGTAAGTCTGGAATTAGAACACACTTGAAATGATTCCTTGATTTTTGGTTGTTTAACGTCCACTTGAGAACAAACTATTCTCGTATATTAAAAGTGCATAGCTTTTTTTTTTCTTTAAGAACAATAGTGCCAATAGAACACCGGAGGGTGTATCAAACCTTTTATGCATAATAGTAATTCTTAGGTTGTTACAAATGAATAAGTAAACGGCTGGATTAAAAAAAATAGTACAAGAATTCACACGCTCAAATGTCTCGTCTGATTGTTCTTTGATAGTTTTCCAATAAAAATAGGGGAGGGGAAGGTCAAATAAACCCTGCTAGACAGACATTTTCACATTACAATCATTTCATTTACCAAATATAGTTGATCTATTGCTTAATGTACCCGATAAACTGACAAAACCATGAAAACTTAACATTGACCAATGAACCATGAAAATGTGGTCAATGTCATACGAATCCTGCCAGACATGTTCACCTTACAAATAGTATCTGATTAACTGACAAAACTATGAAAACTTAACATTGACCATTGATCAATGAAAGTGAGGTCAAAGTCAGATGAATCATGCCAGAAAAACCTGCCTGTAGACCTTTTAATAATTCCATACACCAAATACAGTTGATCAAATGCTTAATGTTCCTGAGAAACTAAGAACAAAAAAAAACCATGAGAAATTAACATTGACCAATGAAACAGGAAAATGAAGTCAAGGTCATATGAACCCCTGCCAGACAGACATGTCTTACACCTTACAATCGTTTTATACAAAAGCTATTGTTGACTTGCGCTTATAGTATCTGATTATCTAACAATACTATGAAAACAGAACATTGACCAATGATCCATGACAATAAGGACAAGGTCAGATGTATCCTGCAAGACAGACATGTAGACCTTGTAATAATTCCTTACACCAAATATAGTTGACCAATTGCTTTATGTACCTGATAAACTGACAAAACAAACAT